AAAAAAAAAAAGATTAAAAAAAAAACCCCACAAAGAAAAGAAACTGTGAATAAAATGGATATCACTCCTGACACTTAGCTACTAATTGTTGACTTTGTGTGTTCATCAAAAGGGACGTTGCCTTGGGGAGGCTAACTAGAAGGTGCAAAAGTCAGAGAGGCCTTAGAAAAAAATGAAAGCTGCCAGTTCTATAGGGTGTAAGGTGTTGAATTCCATCCCCCCTCTTGCATGAGCCTGGGGAATGTCTCTGAACATCTGATGAGATGGTAACCTTGCCTGACACCCTGATTGCAGCCTTATGAGGCTTCAGCTTTGCCTCAACACTTGACCCACAGAAATTGTGAAAGATGAAATTCATGTTACTTTAAGCAACTAAGTTTGGGATGAGTTGTTACACAGCAATTGAAAACAAATATACCATGCTACCATTGGGTAACATTTCTGATACAAGTGTTAAGGTATAGTTGTCCTTTATTTGTGGAGGATTGGGTTTCGGGACACTGTCCTCCCCCCACCTCCTACAGATACCCAAATCCAAAGATGTTCAACTCCCTTGCATAAAATGGTGTGTGTTTACATGTAACCCATGTGCATTCTCCTGTCCACCTTTTTTATTTTTTTGATGGTACTGGGGTTTGAACTAAGGGCTTCCCGTTTGCAAAGCAGGCACTCTACCACTTGAACCACACCTCAGTCCCTTCTGTATACTTTAAATCATCTCTAGATAGCTTATAATACCTCATACAATGTAAAAGGCATGTAAATAGCTGTTCTACTATGGAAACTAATGGCAAGGAAAAAAAGCTATGAAGGGCTGACTGAAATTATGCTTTCTAGGAATAACAAATGGTGGTGTGTTTGTGCTCCCAGAGAACCATGACAGAGGAGGTTGACCTAGGGCACAAGGCTCAAGATGCAGCAGACATTTGAGATGAAGGAAGCAAGTTTTCAGCCAGCTAGTCTTTAGGGTTTGAGAGAGGTGGGAACAAGAAGAGGGAGGTAACCAGATTTTTTTCCTGATTGAGATTTGCTGGTAGAGAGTTTCGTATTTAATATTTGAGTGAATTTACTAGATAACTGTTCATGCTTAGTATATCATAAGACCTCAGAGTTACTTCAACTATTGAAGGTTAGAAATTTAAAAAGTTAGGGCTGAAGGCAGGTTAGATGGACTTTTGTTGCTTTTACTTGAACTGCCACTAGAGGATGGCAAGTGTGGTGTCTCAGCAGGATATCCAAGATAAAGGTGTGCAGAGCAGTGTTGAAAGGTGACTTGATTATGATGTAGATAAATTCCAGGAACACAGGTGGTAACAACAGTGTCCAAGACATGGAAGGGATCATATGTATGTATTAAAAATTTTTTTTTTGTGGTACTGGGATTTGAATTACTAGGAAGGTGCTATATCACTTGAACACCTCCCCTCTTCCCAGACCTTTTGCTTTTAGTTTGTTTTTGGTGGGTCTGAAGATTAACTCAGGGTGCAGCTTTTATTGATTGAGATGGGGGTCTCGAAAACATTTTCCCTGGGGTTGGCCTTAAACCATGATCTTGCCATATCTCTGCCTCCTGAGTAGCTAGAATTAGATGTGTGAGCTACCGCACCTGGCCTGTATTCATCTTTTTTTTTTTTTTTTTCAGTATTGGGGATCAAACCTGGGGCTAGTCTATATGCATTTTTTTTTTTTTTTTGGTGGGACTGTGGTTTGAACTCAGGGCTTTGCACTTGCAAAGCAGGCACTCTACTGCTTGAATCACACCTCCAGCCCGTTTTGCCCTGTTTATTTTGGAGTTGGGAGGTCTCACAAACTATTTGCTCAGGCTGGCTTCCAACCATGATCCACTTGATCTCAGCCTCCCAAGTAGCAAGAGTTACAGGTTTAGCCACTGATGCCTAGCCTGTGTGTATTATTTTTAAAACCTTACTTTTTTTTTTTTTGCAGTATTGAGGCTTGAACTCAGGGACTCTGCCTTGAGCCACTCCATCAGCCCTTTTTGTGAAGGGCTTTTTCAAAATAGGGTCTCTTGAAATATTTCCCCAGGCTGGCTTTGAACCGCGATCCTCCTGATCTCTGTCTCCTGAGTAGCTAGGATTATAGATGTGAGCCACTGGCGCCTGGCACTTTTTTTTTTAAATTCCTGCCTGTTCCAATTGATATTGTTGTGTAAAAACCACCTCAAATTTAATGGAGTAAAAAAGATAATCATTTTGCCAGGTGTTAGGGCTCAAGCCTGTAATCCTAGCTATTCAGGAGGCAGAGATCAGGAGGATTAAGCTTCAAAGCCAGCCAGGGCAAATAGTTCAAGAGACCCTATCTTGAAAAAATCCACCACAAAAATAGGCTGATGGAGTGGCTCAAGTTGTAAGCCCCAAATTCAAACCCCAGTACCTCACACACAATAATCATTTTATTGTGCTCTTGGATTCTGGGGAATTCAGAAACAGCATGGTTGTGGATGGTTTGTGTTTCCACACCAAAACCCCCCAAAGCCTGGTCAAATTTTCTGACAAGGGCCCTGTTTTTCCAGTTGCCAATAACATTTTCCTTAGCTATCTTTACTCTCTTATGGACAATCTCAAGGTGTTTTACATTTCTGCTAACATTGATGTTTCCCTTCTTACTCTTCCTTGTTGCTTCGCCTAGTCTCAAAACTAAAGCTTCATGCTTATTTGTATCACATTATTTTGTTGTGACATCCACCCCACTTTCAGGTAATGAAATCTGTTCCACTTACTATTGGTGAATTACCATTACTATGTAATAAACTTCCCCTCCTTAAGAAGTTAATGGTAGAAAAATAACAAGCCCCCAAAGTCAGCGTGAAGCCCTGAGTTCAAACTCCAGTACTGCCAAAAAAAAAAAAAAATCTACAAAGCCCAAAGTTACATAACATAAGCTAGGAATCCAGGATAGCTATGGGGAAGGGGGTAGTGGTGACTGTACTACTTAGATTACATTTATAATAATTGTAACAGTGGTTCTCCTTTTTGATTTCAGGACACATTTTTTTTATTGTATTGTATTATTTTATTATTTATTTATCTCTTATTTTTGTAGTACTAGAAATGGAACGCTGAACTTCCATTTATGTTAGGCAAGAGCTCTACCACTGAGCTACCTCTCAATTATATAGTGTTAATTTTGTAATGATTGCCTCCACAGCAAAGTGGACATTTTTTGGTTTATTGAGTTATTTATCTGTGTGTTATTTGAGAAAGAAATTTGACTTTTTGCAAATTTCATAGTAACAAGTCTGCACTTAATGGAGATATTCTTTCTTTCCATATTAACTTACTATGGATCTGATACTTTTCTCCCCCAAGAGCCCCCCACTTTTTTTAACCTCACTTTTTTTTAATATTATTTTTTACAATTCACACATATTTTTACCTAGGAATCCAAGAGTGGAAATCGGTCCTAGGGATTCATTCCCAAACTGCATTCCTGGCTATTTTTCTTTGGCTCTTTTACTATACAAGTCAAATGCTTATTTGCTCCTGTCTTCTGAGGGACTGGGTCTATCACCTTCTCTTTTCTACCTGTATAACTGGGCTGAAGAGAAGGTCCTGAGTGGTTGTCAAATTTAAATTCATTAAAATCACCTACACGGCTGTTCAAACAAATGGTTGGGCCCTAAACCCAGAGTTTCTGAAGTAGGTAGGTCTGAGGTGGGGTCTAAAAAAAAAGCCAAGGTGATGCTAAAGTTCCTGCTCTCTGACCTCACATAGCAAAAAACACTGAGCATCTCTAATCTAAAAATCCCAAATCTGAAATGCTCCAAAATCTGTAACTTTTTGAATGCCAACATGATGCTACAAGTGAGTAATTCCACATCAAGAAATGTTTCATGCACAAAACCATTAAAAGTACTGTGTATCTACAAATATTGTAGGTAGCCCACGTTTGTAATCCTAGCTATTTGGGAAGGTGTGATGGGTAAGACTGCAGTTGGAGGCCACCTGGGGCAAATAGTTTCCCATCTCCAAAATAACCAGAGCAAAATGGACTGGAGGTGTGGCTCAAGAGGTAGAGTGCCTGCTTTGCAAGTACCAAGCCCTGAATTCAAACCCCGTCTCAAAGTAGCCACTCATGTCCTGCAGGCAATGGCAGGAGGATTTAGAGTGCAAGGCCAGCCTGGGTTAGTGAGAACCCCCCCCCCCAAAAAAAAGTATGAAACTAAGCTATGTGTGCAAGGTGTATATGAAACAGAAATGAAATTCGTTTTCAGACTTAGACCTTGTCCCCAAATGTGTCATTTATATGTATATGTAAATATTTAGAAAACCTTAAAAAAAATTCGAGATCCAAAACATTTCTGGTCCCAACCATTTCAGCCAAGGGATACTCAAACCATTCTGCTCTATTTCTTTCAAATTCTCTGTTCCTAAAACAGGCTTAACATGGTTACATGTTAAAAGATTTATAGTAATATTAATAAGGAAACATTAGCTAGATTACACAAATGTTACTGGTTTTGCCCTTAGATTCCAGACAGTAAAACAAAGGCCAGCCATACTTTTCCTACAGGGCAAGATTGTCTCCCACCTCTCACACGTAATCCAGGCAGAACACCAGATTTCCCTACTGAATAGAGACTGCAAAGACTGACAAATTTAGCCCTTAAGCAACATCTCAATTAGTGACGGACAGTTTACTTTTATTTCATATAAAAACGCTATTCAGTCAACCCCTTAGATCCTGGGGCGGGTGAAAGATAAGTAAGGGCGCCTGCTCAATTGAAAGACAACAAAAACAACCCCCTCCCTGCACCAAATCAAAGAAAAGCCAAAATCAAACAGGCACCCCGGAAGACCGATGAAGACTCAGGGCCACACCTGAAAAGCCAGGTGAGCCGCTAAGCACCAGTGGGCGGAATCACAGCAGAGCATGGGCGTTGACTTCCGTCCACGTGGTGCGAAGCGCGACCAACCGGGACGCTATACGTCAACTTCGCTTCCTCACCCTGGCAACGGGCGGGTGACTACTTCCGGTGCCGTGAGGGCTCTGGGCTGAAGCGGGTGAGTGTCCCTCTTCCTCACACTGTCGGCGCTTCTGCTGCCGCAGTGCAGCTATGAGTGTGCGCTTGGCGAGCTCGCTGACACGTCCTCTCCCAGATCGGGAAGGTGGGGGGCGCACAGAAAGCCCCCTGCCCAGGGCTAGAGAAGGGGCTCAGATGGCCCTCGTGCCCTAGTGTCGGTCGCGCGTGGGGCCCATGCCGTCCTTTTCCAGCCTCGTCTCCGGCGTGGCGGCCTCAGCGCCTCTGCGGGGAGGACTGCGGAGTTCTCGCAGCGCTTCTCGCACTTGGCATTTGCAGGCCGGAGATGGCCGAGGGGGTCCTGGAGTTTCGCAGGGACCCCAGAGGTGCAGCCTATTCGCGGGTTTATTGGGGTCTACACATCCCGTAGTGGATAGAGGCCTGGTTACTGCTCAGGCAGAGGAGGAGGAAAGGCCTGAGTAGATGAAGCAGCTGGAGAGCAGGGTGAGAGAAGCAGAGCTGGAGGTGCTCTGCAAATAGAGGAGGGAGTTCAACTTGCTTGTGCAGGGCCGAGGAAGGAAAGGTATATTGGGAACCATGTGACTCAGATCTTTGAATAATAAACCAAGGAATTTTTGCTTGTGCACGTGGAAGAGTAATAGTTTCTATTTCGTTGTAAGTCTTTCTTGCTACCGCTTAAATAAGACAACGATTATTAAAGAATGTTAGAGATGTAGAAATATTTAGAAAAAAATTAACCTGTGCTACACCACAGGTTAGGTGCTACACCACCTGAGCACACACCAGTCCTTGATCTTTCTAATTTTTTATGCACATTATGCTGTGAACATTGTGGGTATGTGTAAAACATGGTTATAACTGAGAAGTACACTTTGTGTTTGTTGCATCCATTGCACGGATTGGGGAATTTTTTTTTTTAAGCTGTAATTCACATATCATAAAATTCATCTTTTTAATTATTGTAGATTTCACTGTTCTTTAATGTATTCAGAAAGTGGTACACATGTTACTATTGTCTAGGTCCAGAACATTTTCATCACCTCCAAAAGAAATCCTGTACCCATTACAACTCCTTCGCCTTTAAAACCACTAATCTACTTTCTGTGTTTATGGATTTTTCTGTCTGGACATTTTAATTAAATGGAATTAGTTAGTAGGTGTCCTTTTTATTTTTATTTATTTCTACTATTCCATGTCTCCCCATTCACAGTACAGATCAGACACGGGCCTGGGCTGAGGTGCATATGGAATAGGGTTTGCCTCCTTTTCCTATACAGTCAGTGTAAGAACATAGCCTGTAGCAAACACTTTGAGGCCATACATGATCTTTTGTGTTTGGTCTCCTTCAGTTGGCATAACCGTTTCAAGGTTCATCTCTGACTCTTTTTTTTTTGTATGTGTGTGTGTGTGGTGCTGCAGATACAACCTGGGGCTTCATACTTTGTAGGCAGGTGTTCTACCACTGAACTATATCCACAGGATGAGTGATGTGCTGTTGTGCAAATGTACTACATTTTGTGTAACCATCAGTTGATGGATGTTTGGGTTTACACTTTTTGGCTATTTTGAATAATTCTATAAATTCCTTGTACAAGTTTTTGTATGGACATGTGTTTGAAGTTCTCTTTGGTATATACTTAAAATGAAACTGCAGGGTCATGTGGTAACTTTTTTTGACAGTCTTGGGTTTTGAACTGAGGGCTTCAGGCTTGCTAGGCAGGTGCTCTTCCTCTTGAGCCAAGCCTCCAGCCCCTATTTATTTATTTATTTATTCCACAACTCCCCCCCCCAACCCCTATTTATTTTTGAGATAGGGTCTCACCATGTAGTCCAGGCTGGCCTCAAACCAGAGATCCAATTGCCTCATTCTTTGAGTACTAGGATTACAGGTGTGTAATGGAACTGCTATTTTCCAAAGAGGCTGCACCATGTTACATTCCCACCAGCAGGTTATGAGGATTCTGATCTCCACATCTTTGCTAACATCTGTCTTTTTGATTAGAGCCATCTGGGTGCTTGTGAAATGGTGGCTCATTATAGTTTTGATTTTCATTTTCCTTGATGTTAAACATCTGCGATGTGCTTATTCCTCATTTGTATATTTTGGGGAAATACCTGTTCTTTGGAGAAATTGCCCGTTTTGAAATTTAGTTGTCATATTTTAAACTTGTATGTGTTCTTTCTGTATTTTGTATACAAGTCCCTTATCAAATATATGATTTGTAATATTTTCTACCACTTTGTGGATTGTTTTTCCACCTTTTCACATGGTGTACGTTGAAACATGAAAGTCTAAAATTTTGGTGAAGTCTAGCTTACCTATTTTTTTTTCTTTTGATTGCTTTTTGTTTGTTTTTGGTATCATGTCTAAGAAATGATTCCTAAATCCAGGGTCACAAATATTTACCCCTATATTTCCAAGAGTTTTATAGTTTAAACTTTTGTATTTAGGTTTTTAGTCTGTTTAGAGTTAATTTTGGTATGTAATATGAGGTAGGAGTACAGCTCCTTTTTTATGCCTACAAATAGTCAATTTTCCCAACACCATTTGTTGAAAAGACTGTCCTTGGCTAGGCCGTGGTGGCTCACGCCTGTAATCCTAGATACTCACGAGGCAGAGATCAGAAGGATTGCAGTTTGAAGCCAGCCCTGGGCAAATAGTTTGCAAGAAACTATCCTGAAAAAAAAAAAAAAAGTCATTAAAAAAAGGGCTGACAGAGTGGCTCAAGTGGTAAGAGCACCTGCTTAGCAAGTGTGAGGCCCTAAGTTCAAACCTCAGTGCTGCCAAAAAAACCAAACCAAAACAAAACAAAAAACTGTCCTTTTCCCATTGAATGGCATGGGCTCTCTCATTGAAAATCAATTGACCATAAAAGTATAAGTTATTTGTTTTAACTATTTCTCTTTGTTGGACTCATAGATTGCACCAAGATTTTTGTATTCTATATTATCTTTTGTTAAACATAGCAGAAAATTTTTATACTCTATTGACTGAGCTAGCCAGGCAGGTGCTAAACACAGCAAAAAAGACATAAAGTCTTTTCTTTATTTAAAATTTTGGTAGAAAATGTTCTCAGAAGTGGAATTATTGGGTCAAGATGGATTTTAGTAGGTTCTGGAGCTCATTTAATGAGGCTTTAAAACTTTTAATGTCATGAAGCTAAAAGCAACAGCATGGTCTTTACTCATCATTTGATAGTTTAAGGGCTGAAATTCTGTAAAAGCCTTTTGTTCTAAGATGGATGGATTCCATGAGTTTCTTCCTCCAGTTGCTCCTGAAAGACTAAATAGAACTAGAGTGAAAAACTTGACACCATACTAACAGGACTTGTGGTTGTATTCTAAATGGTTTAAAGAAAAAGAAAAAAAAAGGTGTCATGTGCAATAGAAAAATAAAGAATCTTTGAGAGAGATGAATGAGGTCAAGATTTAGACCTTAAATTATTTCTATGAGCCAGGTACCAATGACTCATGCCTATAATTCTAGCTACTCAAGAGGTGGAAATCAGGAGGCTTGTGGTTCAAAAAGCCAGCCTGGGCAAATAGTTCCATGAGATACTATCTCAAAAAAAACCATCACACACACACAAAAAAGAGCTGGTGGAGTGGTTCAAGGTGTAAGTTCTGAGTTCAAGCCCCAGAACCACAAAAAAAAAAGAAAAAAAGAAAAATTATTTCCATGAAAGTCCCTAGAGTGAAAATGTTTTATTCTCAGGTTGATCAAGTTAACATTCATCTTGTTCTTAAAGATGGCAAACTTAAATATTCCTCTTTTCAGTAGATAGTATGGGGTGAAATACATTTAAATACAAAAGTTATTAGGAGAAAACTGAATTTCTCTTTCATTCTTGCTCCTCATTTTCCCAGTTCTTAGAGGTATCAATGGTACTTATAGTTTGTGTCTATGTTGACTAGTTCATACCTAGAGTATCTCTGGAAAGATAGTATATACAATATTATACATTTTACAGCTCTTGCTTCTTATAAATGTCTTTTCAAAATGGTTACAATTGGCTTATGGTGCCAGTACAGAGCTAGTTATTTTGAATAGTCTTTCTTTAATACTGGGTATTCAGTTTATAGTTTCTTTTTTATGTAGTGTCTGCTCATGTATTTTAGGATGGTATTTGCTTTGATTGGAGTTGCCCTTTGAGATTTATTTTGCAGTTTTTTGAGGCTGGTTGCTTTAGGATGGATTGGATTTAGGGAGAAAAGTTCAGATACTGTTGTAACATTTATGCTAAGGTGTATGGGCTAAACAAGGGTGAAGAAAAAGGAAGTTAAATGTTTGAAGAAAACCCATAGGATTTGAAAACTTGGGTGCAGTCTAAAATGATTTTAAGATGAGTGTTAGAAAAGGGTAATGCTATAAAGAGAAATTAGTGATGTGGAAAGAACTAGATTTTTTTGGGGTAGGGAATGATCTTGTTTTGGACAGGATATGAAAGAGGAAGATCAAGGTTGAACTGTACAGAAAAAAAATTGTGGCTAGAACTCAAGACAGACGACAGAGAGTTGGGAATTATTTGATTTGCTGAGAGGATAGTTTTGAAAGGTTGCCAGTAGTTGAAACTTCTAAAGGAGACATTTGAGAATGGACTCAGAGGGATCATGAAGAGCTAGGATAGTAGATTGATATGTTGCAAATAAGAGCAGGTGATCTAGAGAATCAGAGGTTGACAATGGAAGATTAAGAAAGGGGCACTAGATTTAGTATTTTGGAATAGGTATAATTTATGCAAAGCAAAATTTGTTTTTTTTTTTTTTTTTGGACAGCTTTATTAAGATACAATTTATGAGCCAGGTACACTTAAAATCCTAGTTACTCAGGAGGCAGAGATCAGGAGGATCATGGTTTGAAGCCAGTCTGGGCAAATAGCTTGAGAGAACCTATCTCGAAAAAAACCCATCACAAAAAAGGGCTGGTGGAGTGGTCCACGTGGTTGAGCACTTGCCTAGCAAGCAGAGGCCTTGGGTTCAAAATCCTCCATAAAAAAAAAAGAAAAAAATATGATACAATTT